TAGAGTTACTGACCTTGTTACTTGAAGAGGTGTTGCCATGATAGCCTGGGTAGCATGTAAGCCCCACGAGGACCAATGACTGTGCTTTTATTATTTTCCTCTTGCATGGTGTCCCCAGGGTGTCCTGGAGTGCCCCCCACAGCCACAGCAGAAGCCCAACTGGGAAGGCTCAGCTGCACAGGACGCAGGGGGGACGAGCTGGGATGCTTATGCTCCAATGAACAGACCCTGGAAACTTGAATCAAAAATATTTGAAACTGAATCTTTGGGTGGAATTTCCATTAGTGTCTGGTGAAGGAAACCACAGAGTGTCACTCTCAGCCATTCAAACAGATGACTTAAATGAGTCACGGGCTTATGAGTGGTCCTGTCACAGAGCCCCACACCACTGCAGACTCCCCTGATTCTCCTCCTGCTTTTCAAAAGAATCAAGAGCTCCTTCCTTTTACATTATGCTTTTTGGTGTTCATGATGCCAGTTTTTAGAAAAAATGCCATGAGTATGGTGCATAGGAAACGTCACCCAGCAGGCAGATAGCCAAGGCCCCTGTGCCTTAGCTGCTGTTTTTGATTTCAGAAATATAAGCCACCAAATGCAAAGGCCCCTCAGAACTAGAACTCAGCTGCGCAAACTTCATGTCTAGCCCAGTGGAGCTCTTTTTCATTTTTTAAAACGCGGGTTGACAGGGAATGTCCCTGCCTTCTAAATGTCACTATTCCGTACTATAATTATAGAAAATCTAGCACTTTCTGCCCAGGCCCTGGGAGCTACTTCTCGTGTATTTGCCCACCGACTCCTATCCCCCTTTGTTTATTCCCTCATTTCCCTCCAGCTGCTGAAGCTCAGTGACTGTACAATCCTGTCCTGCTACAGACGAGGCACTGACCACTCACCACCGGTGAACAGCTGCTCAGGGCCAGGCACGGGGTCTTGTCCTGTAGCATTTACAAGAATGTTCAATTAATTTACCCCTGCTCTCCACTGATTATCTCAGCTGGTCTCCCAGTACCCTGAGAGGTGAACAGAGTAGGCATTTTTCTAGCCACTTTGCAGTGAAGAGAAAGAAGTTGAGATGGGAGGCCATATTGAGACTGGAGTTACCCCTCAGCTGAGACCACTCAGGCCACAGGCCAAGCCCTTCCGCTGAACTCACATAGTTCCTTCAGGGGACGCATGGAGTGCCCAGCAAGGTGTTGACGTGAAGTTCAGCTGGACACAGACTAGACACGTGAAATCTATTTTCCTTTAAGATTCTCTTAGTCTACAATCAGCCTATTGTTTTATGGCTTGTAGACATTTTACCAAATGCTGAAGAAATATCATTTACTTTAGGAAAAGCAATTTCCATCTTACACATTTGCACTTCTAAATTGTTCTAAAACCAAGAATTAGAAATAACATATTAAACAGAAGTTTCCAGTGTCATAAGCCCAGGAATTTACTTCCAACAAACTTACACATATAAAGTTCTGCTGAGGATCAGTCACTGTTTGTACCAGGGTTTAATGTTTATGAAAGACAGGAGAAGGGTTGTGGTAAAGTTCTGCCTGTGAACTTGGCTCCATGAAAGCCTGACTTTCTTTCCTATCCTTGTTTTGACCTTGTCCTTGCTAGAGAGTATCATAAGCAACACCTGCCAGCCTCCCTAACACACAGCTCTGAATTGAATTCTCAGCAATTTGCAAGCCCAAGTTCTCTCTTGTATGTGCGAGATTCATCTGCAAGATCTTACTCTATCTGGAAATCTCTTTCCTTCCTCCTTCCTTCCTTGCTTCTTTTCCATTCTCTTCTCCCTCCTTCCCTCACTTCCATTAGCATCTCATCTCTCTGCTCATAAATTTTCCATTGTCTTTCTTAGATTTCTAGACTCTATTTTTTTTTTTAATTTTTTCTAGCTTGGAATACAAACCAGTAAGGCCAGCACAGTATTTTTGCAGCCCATGTGAATATTATCAGAATGACATTACAGGATGTACAGATTAAAATGGCACAAACCCTCTGCCATGGAACCCATGTCTTCCTCACAGAGCCACTGCTGCAATAGGAAAGCAAATAAATCAATATCATGTCCTTGATTGCTGCATTTTCAATTTGGGTATCTGATTTGCCAGACAAATATGATAGTAGGCATTTAGCCAGACAGCTCCCAAGTGACTCCTCAGGAGAGGAGGAGTTTCTACACATCTCTTGTTTGAATTAAAGTTAGCGGTAACTTCCCCTTTATTTTTTTAACTTCTGATTGGTTCACTTATGAAGTTGTTAAGAGACTCCACATGGAAGGTGTGCTCAAATATGAAATGGGAGGGATGCTGAGGACCGGGGCATCAGGGAAATGGAGAGCAAAGACGTTCACACAGTCTGGGGCATCAGGGAAATGGAGAGCAAAGATGTTCACACACTTTGGTGACACACTATGGCTTGTTCAGGTTCCAAGTCACCCACTGGCTGAGGTGGCCCCAACCAGCTGTGAGTGTCCATGCAGCGGGTTCTGGTGACATGGCTGTCTTCCCCTGCAGTGCGGTACCGTGGACCAGGGCCTGTATGTCAACTTGACGGAGAGGAACCTACAGGATGCTCAGAAGTTCATTCTCATGCATGAGGTGGTGCAGCCAGTGACCACCGTGCCCGCCTTCATGGAGGACAACAGCCGCTTCTCCCATGTGGCCGTCGACGTGGTGCAGGGCCGAGACGCGCTTGTCCACATCATCTATTTGGCCACAGGTAGGAGCCCTGCCCTCCTCTGAGGAGTTTTCTATCCATCTTCTGATGTTGTGTCTTAAATTTTAAACACACAGCTTCTCTCTTTGCAACCAGCAAACCCACCATGCTGACCTGCAGCTTCCTCATCTACGCCCGTCTTTTTGGAAATCTTAATTTCACATTCTTTATTCACCATATTAGTCATAATTTTAATTGGGAAGACAGTGGTTTGTTTCTTAACTATCATTCCTCAACTATTCATAAGGTAAGTCTTCTCTTGGCAAGACCATTTTCATTTGGACAATTTAAGATAATGGAATGCTTTGTTAGAGGACGTTGCTGGATAAAATACTATCTGGGGATTGTCATGGGGATTTCTAATTGGTTCAAAGACAGTGCTCCCTGCAAAATATATCTATGGATGATGATGCATGGAAGCATTCAAAGAATATGTTTTGTGCATAAATAACAGAATATTTTGAAGCAAATGTAGGCAATGATGCTTATCAAATCAGAAAAACAAGGAGAGCTCTTCAGTTTCCAAAGTAACTAGAGTGTGGAAGGCACATGCCAACCCATCTCAGTTTATTCCATGGGCAGGTCAGCATGTGCAAGGCCAGCCTCAGAGACCAGGCTCAAGTCTGCCCTCTTTCCAGCCTTCAGGGCCACAGATACAGCAACCTCACCTTGGAATCTGTCTCCCTCTTTCTTTGTCCAGTGTTCTATATAATTGGCACCTTCTGAAGCACAAAGAACTTCTCCATTCATAATTATATGTTTATTAGTTTATTTTTATGAAGTTGCTCTTACCTACTGAAAATTTTCTGTCCATTGGATTCATTTGAAGCATAGCATAGTAAATTGGTGAACAATCTGGCACTGCCCTGTGGTCTAGAGCTCACTTACTGGTGGGGACAACAGATAATAAATAAATAGTAACAAACCGGCAACATGATGACAATTGGATATCCCTGAAACACCAGGGTCTGTCCCTGCCAGGACTCAGCACACTGCTGAGTGCTGGCCACACAGGAGAAGGTAGCCCTGTAGCCATGATTAAAATAGCCAGTGCTGCAAGATGCAGGCTTGGTCAGCGCAGTAGTGCCACTGAGTGTTCCAAGAAGATCAGGACAGGTGCACCCAGTGGAAGAGCAGATGGAGGCTGCAGGTGCCTCTACAGCCAGTCTGGGGAAGGAAGGGAAAGAGAGGAGGCATGTGGGCAGAAGTCAGCTGCTCAGAGCAGTTTCTTCCGAAGTGACTCCCAGAAAAGAAGTCGAGATTGATGTGGTGTCTGGAGGGGATGGAAGGCCAAAGAAGGGATTATTTTCTATTGTTTATTTTAAGAGAAGGAAAGGGAGTGCCGTTGCATTGTCTTGCTCATCAGGATGCAGATGGGAATTATGCCTCTGTTTGTGCCATTTTTACCCTTAATGCCCTACAGAGTACCTGGCATGGAGTAGATATGTAGAATGAATGAACAGGACCTTTCCAAAAGTATTCATCATAAGTGTTCAGCCTGATGCCACAGAGAAGAGGGCCATCTCCTTGCAATCCCTGGAGGCAGTTGAGGTCTGCATCAATAACTGGGGGCAATAGGTGTGGGAGAATGGGGTTATCCTTGGACAGCCCCGTGTGGGTCAGCACAGAGCAGCCTGAAGTCTTGACCTAAGCCTTATGATCTACCCTCCACCTGAGGCTGCGAGAAGGTCAGGTTTGCTTCCTTTGTGTTTATACTGATCTATAGTGAGCTTCTGATGATTTATAATGAAACTCTTTTTCTACTTTTATCCTGATGAATGTCAGATTGTTGAAACAAATTTCTGGGTGGCTTAAACAATAGACATTTATTTCTCACTGGTCTGGAAGCTAGACATCTAAGATCAAGGCAGTGATGTTTTGTTCTGGTGAGGGATCCCTTCCAGGTTTGCAGACAGCTGCATCCTCACCAACAGGAAAGAGAGCGTTTCTCTCTTGTATTTTCTTATGAGGGCACTAATACCCTTCATAAGGGCCCTATCCTCATGACCTAATCACCTGTACATGCCTCACCTCCAAAGAAATATCACTAGGGATTAGTGTGTCTTCAACATATCAATCTTGGGGAACACAAATATTCAACCCATAGCTACAGGCAACTTCCACTGTTATTTAAAACAGGCTCGCAGGAGTAAGATATTTGAGGATTTTTTTTTTATTACAATCAACATATTTGAACAGAATCTCAATCAAGTCAAAATAGACCTATTTAGATAAATTATAGATCTGAGATGACATTGTAGTCAACACTCATTCTTTTTAAATAGCACGGATTCTAGAAACTTGCTTATAAGAAGTCTGTTTAGAATGGCTTCATGGCTGGCCCACCACTTCCTCACACCTGCCCCCTTCAAAAACTAGCTCAGGCCTTACCAACTTCAGGGACTTGAGACTGCCTGATGCTGTCTCTAGGTTTGCAGATTTGATTTCAATAGTGACATACCCTATGTCATTTGGCACATGAGTCTTACAGAGTTTCCATTTATTGTTCACTTAGAACAAGTTTTTGCTTTTATTTTAATCTACTACTCATTTACCAACTGAGTCATGATGTGCATCAGATATTACTAATTTGAATCACAGGTCAGGATTATGGGTGAAGATGCTGTGCATAAAACTTTTCCATAGTTCCCAATGCTGGTTAATTGAGTTGTTTGTTAAATTCCAGTGTAGGAGGAGCTTGCTTTGCAGTAAGTACAGGAACGTTCCAGTAGGAATAATTGTAGTTACCCTGAGTCCTGAACAAAATCCCTGCTCCAATCCTATGTGGTGATTCAGGACAAGCCCACCGAAATTCTGCTTAATGCTCACGTTTAAGCTTGTTTAGACTAGCAGGACAATTCTAAGTACATAATTCTGTAAATTAGAAATTTCGTGTCTCAACTATCTTTTCATTTAACTCTTACTGTTCAATATATTTGGAAGTTATATTTTCTTTTGCAAATTGCCATTCCAAATAGTATTTAGTCTTAAGGAATATCATTTTTTTAATGATCTACTTTATAGTCTTCCTTATTTCTAAGGAGTTGAATACTAAAAAAAAAAAATACCCTAAAATGCTGCTCTGTATTAACTAAACCTGGTAAAAGCTGAACTTTTGACAAGTAGGAATGTTAAAGATTAGGGTTCTTACTTTTCAAATTTGGATGCCTGATGTTTATCTGGTTTCTTTTGGGGGGATGTCACTCCATCTTGCCCCAGTAGAGTGATATCATGGCAAGCCAGGAACATCCATCTCTTATCAGTATCAGTTTTAATATCAAAAAACAAAATGTCAAAAAATAAATATCAAATTTTAATATCAAAATATCATGTGCTGTGCCTTATCCAAGAATTAAGAAGCACCCAAGGGATTGAGAAAGTGCACTAAGTCCTCACTGAACATTGACTGTAGGTTCTTGGAAACTACAACTTTAATCCAGATAATGTAGAGCAGGTCCTTAGAATAACATCATTTCCTTATAATATTGATAAGAAGAAAAATGTTGGCTTTGATCTACATTGTTCCACTTAAAGTCACAGTTTCAAAGTGGCCAATGTCAAGTGAGGACATGCTGCATTACACCCGTAACGAGTGAGTGTGAAGCGACCGTGCTTGCTGTCATGCCTAGAGTCGGTTTGGCATCTTAGCTCTGGGAAGCAGGTTTGGTGCTAAGTGTATTTTCTCCCACTTTGATTTCACTTAAATAAACAAACACAAATAGGAGAAAACCTGCCAAATTTCAGTTGAAAAGTTGGTTTAATTCGTTTGTGAGTATTATCTAAAAATCAAAGTGAAATAAACCCCTTTGCTAGGGTGATTCACTGTGCACCTTTCTGTCCACCTGGTTCCCTGCTGCCCCTCCCCCAGCTGAGTCAGCGGCAGCCTGTCCCAGGTGCATTCTGGGTTTGCTGTCCTGTCGCTCCCTGCATCTCTCCCTTGGGACAGTCAGCCAGGACTAAGCACAGTATCTGGGCCATGACTATGCTGATATTCTGTAAGTTATGTTATCTAAGGTCTTCTCAGAGCACAACCCTAAATGACAAGTGGTACTTGAACACTCCTTTAGAATGTTTATGACTGAGCCTTATATCCAAAGAGCTGCTGAGTTTTCTCTGAAGAGAAAATTAAAGTCATGTTGAGATTCATGTATTCTGCTAATCTCTTCCTTGCTTGACTTGGGAACACCGTGTCTCCTGGTTCTTTTCCTGATATTCCTTTGCATCTCATGTACTCTGTGTGGTCTTCCTGGGTGGGTGTTGCCCTGGGTTCTGCCCAAGGCCAAGGTTGTTCAAATTTGATGTCCCCTCCTTGAAAGTACCATTCAGATTCATGGTTCTACTTTCCCTCTAGGCTGAGATATGTTTTATTTTCACTTTACCTCAATAGTAATGTGTCTTATCCTAACCTTAAATTGTACATAACCCTAAAGTCTTCAAACTTTATATCATGGAAATAGTTGCACAATTCAGAATATACTAAAAAAAAAAAAATCAGTGCATGAATTTCATGTTATGTAAATTGTATCTCAACAAAGTTTTTTTTTCAAAAAAGAATGCTATCTTTTCTTGTGACTTTCTGTATTATATTTTTAAAATAATTGTTTCAATTAGAGAATGATTCACCAAGATTTAAATAAAACTTTTTGTCAGTAAGTAAAAATACATGAAGAAAGAGGATGCACACACATACATTTAATCATTGTTTTTCATTTTGAACTTGAGAAATTCATATAGAAAGACCAGGGCAGATAATAGATGGAGACAAAGGAGTATTTGTTCACAGATTGCTTTACACGTTTTCAGCTCCCTGAACTGACAGGGAGCTTTTACCATATTTATCACCTCTGCGCCAATCTCTTCCCCCACCCCCACGGTGGATTGTACTCTGGAATAAAATATTTATAAAAGTCTGAGAACATAGAGTAGATGTGGGATCTTCGATAAAGAGAGAGCCTGAGCTGAGCCCCCTTTCCTATATCCTGTCCTATTTTTCGTTCTGTATA